AAAAGGAGCGAACCCGTGCTGCATTTCCTCACATAATAGGCCCACTATGCCTGCTGAGAACTGTTCAAAGATTCCACTTGATATACAGAGGATGGGATATTGAGAGCAGAGGGAACACGTAAAGCCAGTAAGCGCTTAAAAACGAAATGAAGATCTAAGAATTCGGAAAATAACATTCATCTAATCTCACAATGTAGTGGATGAGATTGAGTACGTGGCGCATTCTGGGGTAAGTTTTGAGGCCCTTCTCTGTGTGTAGCGGTCAGCCCGCATAAGCGGGATTATATACACATCACATGCGAGCAACTACTTTTTGAGATGAAAATCGAGTGCATGGCGCAATCCTATATGGAGCTTTTCCAAAGTATCAAAGCACATTCTTATAGTGTCCGACGAGCTGAATTCAAAGATATCTTCGGATTCTCGAAAGCTCAATTTTGAACCGAGTTATAACGAATTCACGAAATTAACGAGGATTCGCGTTATTCGCGTGAATTTTCGATTTCAAACGGCGAGTACTGTACTTAGCGAATTATATATAGTAGGATGCCCATAATTGATCTCCCACAAATCCTATCCGTGGCCTCAACGTGGCGTGGGAGTGGCAACGGCCTTTGGCCGGCTAACGCGGAAGGTGCCTTCAGAGGATAGAAGAAGCAGAACTTCACTCGGGAGGATAGCCAATTTCAAATTCTGCACAATTATGATCAATGGACTTTTCAAGTATCCCGATCAATGCTAGGTCACCCACCGTAATGGGTCAAGCTAGGACGTCCACCGTAATGGACAAACAAGCTAGGAAGTCCTCCGTAAAGGACAAACGTAAGACCATCAGGATTGCCACCCTCAACGTTGGTACTCTGACTGGCCGAGCTGCCGAAGTGGCAGAAATGCTCAGAGAAAGAAACATCGACATCTGCGCATTACAGGAAACAAAATGGTCCGGCGCCAAGGCGAAAAGAATTGGTGGATACAGTTTGTATTATAAAGGAGAGCGATCGAAAGTCAATGGTGTCGCCATCGCCGTTTCACAGAGGTTAGAACACACCGTCAAGGATATACAAAGGATTTCTGACCGCATCATTTATGTGGCTATGATCTTCGGCAAGAGAATCACACACTTTGTCTGTGCTTTTGCCGATGTAACTTAACATGTAACATGAGTCGGATGCAGTGTGGATTTCGACCTGAGCACAGCACACCGATGCCATTCATGTTGCCCGACGGATGATGGAGAAAGCAAAGGAATGGAATAAGCCGCTCCACATGGCCTTTTTAGACCTGGAGAAGGCCTTCGACAGAGTGCCACGACAACTCATTTGGGAAGCCCTCAGATATCAACAAGTACCTGAAGCACTTGTCAAAGCTGTACAGCTGACCTACCTCAACTCCACCACTGCCGTCCGCACACCAGTAGGAGACACCCCACAGTTTCCGGTAACCGTTGGAGTCCATCAAGGATCAGCCCTTTCACCACTACTTTTCATCCTTTGCATGGACTACGCCACGAGAAACATCCGGAAGGAGCCGCCTCTGACACTGGGCTACGCTGACGATGTGCTGCTTATGGATCGATCAAAGAGAAAGTTAGAAAAACGTGTCAACCGCTGGAAGAAACAACTCGATGATCATGGACTCAAGCTCAACATTAACAAGACGGAATACATGAGCACGGTGGTCACAGAATCGTCAATTGTTGTAGCTGGAACTCCCCTACCAAAGACGGCTAAATTCTCATACCTCGGATCCATGCTCTCTGCGGACACTGACACGAAAGCCGACACGACTGCCAGAATCAATGCAGCATGGAACAAATGGCGAACGGTCACCTGTATCCTTTGTGACAAGAAAATGCCAATACGCCTAAAGTCCAAAATATACACCTCAGTCGTGAGGCCGGTAGCTGTTTATGGAGCAGAAACGAAACAGATGACGGCTGACGAAACAAGAGCCTATGGATCCATGGAGATGAAAATGTTGCGATGGTGCCTGGGACACACGCGTCTAGACCGCATTCGGAATGAACACATACGAGACAAAATCAAAGTTCAACCTATCGCCAACACCCTTGCTGCCTCACGCCTCCGCTGGTACGGTCATGTCCTACGAAGACCCCCTGATGCTGTGTCCAAGTCGGTAGACAACATAGTGTTCGTCGGTACACGTCCAAGAGGCCGACCCAGAAAGCGATGGCTAGACAACCTGAAATACGACATGAATGCTGCGGACCTGTCTGCAGCCGATGCATGGAACCGGGATCGCTGGAAAACATTGGTGGAAAAAGCGTACCCGACAAGGTTGACAACAACGCTAAGAAGAAGAAGAAGAAGGATGCCCATAATTGATATTATAGTTGACAACTTGTTTTTAGAACCTTCTTGTCCTGCTTAGCGGTGATCTCACGCCGTAACAAGATCCTTTTTTTTTGTCACGCGCCGCCAATCGCCCCTTCTGAGCCACTTATGAATGCAGACCGCACTGCGGCATTTTTCTAATTAAAGACAAAATTCGGGCTCAGACCCACTTAGCAAGCCCTTACCGTGGCTGGAAGTTGTGGGTAGGAAACTTTCAAGGTTGCATCTTCTTACCGAAACGCGTCACTAAGACCCTAGGCGCCATGGACTTCTAACAGACTCCACCAAACTTAACATGGTCCGCCCACCGTTCGATATCTTGTCTGCGTCGCGTTGATCTGCTCTCTCTACTCGGACTTCTCTACCGCTCTCCGCGCTCACATTATCTCTCATCTCCCTGCCTGCCTTTCGAACTTCCCCGTAGCATCGAGCAAAATACTCGTATATAAAGAATAAAACATTCGCCGTTGATCAATCCCTTTCTCTAATGCGGCACGCATTCTACTTCCATTTGTACATTCGTAGTGGCGTTTGAATGCGATGTGGCCTATACAATGAATCCCGGGCTACTCACAGCCTACGATTTGTTGCCCGGGCCGCTCGCATGGTAAGCGTCCCACTTGCCACTACATCACTTTCGCCATTTTTCTTTTCTGAGAACATGACAGTGAATTATTGATTTCGAAAAACCTGAATTTAGGCCGATTTTAACAAAGAAGACAATATTTTCGCCGGCATAATTCTCGACAGTTATGACCAGCGTACATATAATGTCCATCCTTGTTATCACAAAGCGTGGGACGACGCAGGCTCCCTCACTGTCGCTTCTCGTCGATGACGCATCCATCTAGGCCATAGATGTCTCTTACTCAAGGGGTTCACTTCTAGCACCACCGCCTGTTCTGAATGAGCATTGAGAGTTAGGTGTTTGTCCAACATCATCTATGAGTGCAGTATTAGGTTATTAATTTTGAATGTCATAATAATTTGTTTCTTACTTTCGCAGCTAAAGCACAATATCTTGAGACGGCGACCGCACATCGGGAAGGCCGTTCCCTAGTGCATATGCATATGCATCGGCTCCTGTTGCAAACTCAGGTGGCAGTGATCGGGTGTTCTTTGAGCCAAAACTTTTGTTCAAGAATGATCGATCAAAAACACCGCTTTCGCGTTTACATATGGTGCGACTTCAAGTAAGGAAAAATAGCGAAAGAATCCCACTCATAGTATGCAACATATTCAACAACGACAAGTAGTCTCTGGGGCTCTTTCTGCTGTGGCTTCAGCGTTTGAAGTACTCTGTTATAGGACTTGAAGACGAAGAGCATAAACTTTGGCCTGTAACTGGTGGTTCCCCTTTGTGGACCATGATTTTGCAACTCTGTTCCGTAACCTCAAGAGGAACAAGGTTTCTGGCTCTATTGCAATCAACTTCAACAAAAGGATCTCGCCGATATGAAAGTGAGAATACTGTTGGCAGCTTAAGTACAGGACGGGATCCGCTCGGTGACCGAAGACACAAAGTAGCTAATACGATGGTAGTAAAAAAAGTGCCGTTCAAGTCTTTGCAGCCTCCGCTTTTATATACTCGTGAGGGGAGAAAGACATTCCCTAAAGCGGTGACCAAGTCATGCTAGGAGCTTGCTCCAAAGGCGGCATGGTCTATTGTAAAGCTTTCTTGAAAATGGCTGTGATCATCCTGCTCGAACTCCGTAAAGTAAAACCGATAAAGATACTATATGTTTTAGCACAAATCAAAACTTATGATGATATCGCCCTAGGTCAGCACGTGATCAATTTCGCGCCCCAGTCTGCGACATAGGTTGTGCTGCGTCGCGTTGAATGTCGGGTAGTAGCAACCCACGTTCGCCGAGAGAGGCTCCATTGTTGGAGTCATCTTCCAGTCCCGGAAATGCTCCGTAAAAAATCAGCAGTCCGGCTCTCTCTCCCTCTCGCTCTTCCACAACATATCTTCCGCCGTCTGCCTTCAATAACCATTTCGGCTCATATGGTGACAATTACCTTCATTAAATTCAGGGGTTTGCGATACCGTCGCAACAGCATTTTCTACTACTCCTTGAAGACGGCGTCAAGCGAGCATTTCCTTTCGGTTTTTGCTTAGCACTGCTTTCAGTTTCATTTTCAACATTCGATCGACTGTCCTGACCTGTGCGGCGGCTCGCACCATCGCTCTGGTGACGCTTCTCTGTTCATTCTGCTGTGTTACCTGGCCCATTCGATATATAGTGTTGTTATCTTTGGCGCTACTCAGAGTGGCAGCTGGATTGATTAGAATTAGGAAAACTGCCACGGTGACAGGTATACTCAAATGATTTGTTTTATCATCTCTTACGAGGTGCGATCGATTGATCCTAATTGTCGTTCTTTTCATCGACTTGCTGTGGTCAAGAGAGTTCGTAATTCACTATTGGGTGGAAATAGCTGCAGTTTTTTTAACGATTCGGATATCACGCAGTGCTCAGAGTGGCAACTGGGCTTCTATTGTTTTATTGCCACCTTAGCAGGTATACTGTTCCTTCTGGCTTTGCTGATTTCTTATTCCTTGCGGGCATCTATTCTATGGCTGCTTGACGAGTTTCATTGGTCTCATTCGCTGCTGCTGGTTTATCTCAAGCACTGAATTTTTTGAGCATATCGGATATTTGCGCTGTCAGAATGGCAACTGGGCGCTCTTTCTTGTACTAGCGTTGCCACCAAAGACAGGTATAATTTCCTCTCGAGTCGTATACAATTTGTGCGAGCCCTACTGCTTACTGATTGCTGACGGTTTTGCCACTTGACATCGCTGCTTTTGTGTACGATATGGATGTGATCGTTGCTGCCTCCGCTTCGAGTGACAACAGTTCTGGTAAAGAACACTCTTGTTGAATGGATCTGCAGGGTAAACTGGAGGAGAGATCTAGTAGGTCTATGGGTGTCACTGGTCTTGTTAAAAACGTTCTTTGTGCTATGATGGCAGAATTCAGTTTTTCATGCTCCAAACACCAAAATTTGAAGAAAGAGATTAAGGAGTTGCAAAAATACTGATGAGTCGATGATCATTTAAAACCAGATCTTGAATTGTCAGAAAGTCGCGTTAAGGCGTATGTGGTTGCCCATCATCATCTATGAGTGTAATATTAGGTCATTAATTTCGAATGTCGCTATGATTTGTTTCTTAGTTTTGCAGCTTAAGCACAATATCTTGAGACGGAGACCGCACATCGGGAAGACCGTTCCCTAGTGCATATTACGAAAGCTTGGGTGGCAGCGAAGGGGTATTCTTTGAGCCAAAGCTTTTGCTCGAAGACGATCGATTTGAAACATAGTCTTTGCGTTTACATACGGTACGACTTCAAGTAAGGAAAAATGGCTAAAAAATCTCACTAATAGTGCGCAACATATGCAACAAGGACAAGTAGTCTCTGAGGCTCTCCCAGCCATGGCTTCAAGTACAGGACTTGAAGGCGAAGGGCATAGACTCTGACCTGTAGATGGTGGTTGTAGATGATGGTTGTGCAACTCTGTTCCGTAACCCAAAGAGGGAAAGGTTTCTGGCTTCATTGTAACCTTATTCAACAAAAGGATCTCAATTCAATTTAATTTCAATTTCAATTCAATGGTGGATATCCACAGAGCTGCCCTCGATACCTTTTCTCTGCACCTTTTTTGCATGCTATAATTGCCACTAACCCATCCTCAAGAAACGAAAGTCTTCGCATATGTGTGGATGGTGTATCACCGAATTAGTTCATGTTCTAAGAGCCCCTGGCTTCACTAAGCATGACAAGATAATT